TGTGTGTGTGTGCGTGCGCGCGCGCGTACTTGTCTTTAAATTACTATCATTATTCATCCATCCCTACAGCGATTAGCAACTTTTAAACCGTCACAGGCTGCCTACCAAACTTCCCCACCCAAGTGTATTTGTTTACATTGCCAGTTTCCCTCGTTCATTTGCTGGTCGTCGTAAATTTTAATTTATGTTATCGACCGTACGTATGTTTCGTTCGTTCATTCGTTCGTTCGTTCATTCGTTCGTTCGTTCGTTCGTTCTATTATTCTTTCATTCATTAACTCGTCCATCCATTTCTTTTTCAATCTCTCGACGTTTTATTACTTTTGAAAAAAAATCAATTATTCAATTTTTACCCGAATCTCTTAAACGATATGGCACCACTCAAAAAGTCTTCAATTTGAAAATTAATATTTCCCATATAAAAACCACAATTTTGGCTCGAATTTTTTAATTTTTTTTTTTGGAATAATTTGGAAAAGAATAAAATTTTTTAAAAATTTCAAAAGGATTGCAAAGCTGTGAAAATCATTTTTTTTACATATATAAAAAACACATTAAAAATAAAAAGAAAAAAAAGAAAAATGGACTATAAATTGTATTTTCGAAACTTTCCCATGTTTGTGCGTTCTTAGTTATTATTTATTTCGCCATTATTGCTTAGTTGGAAGCCAAACATCTTAATTACGATGATTAGGAACTGCGTCTTTGAAACGATGCTCATGGATGGACGAGCGTTGAATATGAATGCACAAATTCAGTTTCAAAAATATTATTATCGCAGCTTTTAATATTATTTTACAATAAAATTGCGATCTAAAAAACTATAGCAGAATATAAAATTTAATAAACAAATTTTCTTTCACTTTTCAAATTATTTATTTATTCAAAAAAAAAAACTACTGCTACATTAACGACAACTACAACTACTTCTACTACTGCTACTACTAATATTACTACTACTACTACTATTACTACTAGTACTTCTACTACACGCAGAGGGAGATGTGCACAGAAAAAGAGAGAAAAAGAAAGTGAGAGAGAGAAAAGCGGTCATGATATTGTTGATTTAGTTGCCGATATAAGAACAACATCACACCCACTACTACAACAACAACAACAGCAGCAGAAGCAGCAACAACAACGAGAACATTAATCCATCTTTAATTTGTTGTTGATGATAGCATTGATGAACAGCTAGAAGTTGGGAGAACAGCCTGTTCATTTATAAATGATGCTTAATGAATCTTTAATTGTTTACTTATTAGTAGAACACAAGTACATATTTTGACTCAACATTTGTTTGGGATTTTCTGTCTGATGTGCCTATACTTTTTACATATATATTCACATATTTTTGTATTATTTAATACATACATGTACGTACAAGTTATTCATGATGAGCTTGAATAATATATATATATATTATCCCTTAACAACCATAATATAAACAATCTTGCCGTTAAAAATTTTAAAAAATTTTAAAAATCGCGTTTTATATTGTTTATAGTTATTAAATTTACTTTATTGGTTTTCTGTTTTAATTAAATAATTTATATAAATTAATAATTACTTGTTCCTTTATATCAAATATCTTAAATAGCTTATATATAATGCACTGAAGATGAGTTATTTATAACTCGAAATAGCTATTTGCAAATTTATTTAATAAAAATATTTTAAAAAAACAATAAAATGTCTAATTTCTCGGAAATTAATAAATTAAAAAGAAATATGAAAAAGTTGAACAATGTTGAAAGTAGTGTTGAATTTTTGAAATGTTGCGTTAACAATAGTCTGTTACCAAATATATATATATATATATATATATATATATAGTCTCTTTTTTCTTTGTTTTTTCACAACGCTATTGAGCTTCACGAATGTTATTATTTTCTATTGGTGACCATCGGGTCGGGTCGGGTCGGGTCAAAAGGTCAGCTAAACTTTACTTTTAACCTTTTCTTATTGAAGTCAGTTGAGGTTGAGGTTGAAACATTGTAATTAAATCATTTTTTCGAATTGACGTTACAATGTAATATTATAATATTTTTTTTATACTTTTATTTTCAAAAAATATGAAAACATATTAAGATAAATCTTTAAATCTTTCAAAAGTGAGCAAAAAATAAAAATAACTACAAAAATTGAGAGAAGAAAAAAAGGAAGGAAGGAAAAAAGACGAGAGAGAGAGAGAGAGAAAGAAAAGAAGAGAGATTACACCTTCATACAGTCAGAGAGAGAGAGAGAGAGTGACAGACAGTACCTAAACATCACCCTGGCTGAGCAACCGCATGGTTGTTGAAATTGCTGAAATGAGTGGTGACATACATTCAACGCGCACACAAAACTTGCACATGCATGCGTGATACATTTCTGCGAGTACATTTTATTACATACATATATATATATATATATATATATATATATATATATATATATATATATATATATATATATATATATATATATATATGTACGTATGTGTATATTTAACTTATGAATGCAGTTGAGTATGCTTTCGCATTTTTAGTTGTGTCTAAATGAGTTTAACTATTAAATATTTTGACTGCATTAGATGTCTGGCTACAATAGAATTCGGCAACACTTGAGCATTCAGCAAACGAATGGTACTAGAGAGCTCAGCCACAAATTCTTTTGTCTCTTCAGTTTTTTATTCTAACAGTGATATGTTGGAGAGTTTCATTAACTTGCGAGCATTTATTTAGTTGGCACAGATTTTATGCGCTTCTATTCCCAGTTACACCATGCATCCATTTTAAACGACAACATTCATTACGACACACGATAGGATTGCATTACTTTTGCATGGACTCTCAAAATGCATACGAAATCTAAAAATGTATATATATATATATATATATATATATATAGAGAGAGAGAGAGAGAGAGAGAGAAAGAGAGAGAAAGTGAGAGAGAGAGAGAGAATTCACTCTGCATGTTAACCGGGTTTGAGTTTTTATGCAAGTGTGATTATGCACGTGTAAGCTCATATATGTATATGCATGTGTGTGTCTGTTATGTGTGTGCGTGCGTGTGTGTGCGTGTTATTTGTGAGCACACATACATGTGTACATGTAATTATTTGCCATCTAAAATCTCCATCAAATTATCTCCATTGGGCTTCTTTTGAGCGAGTAATGATTGCTACTTATTTGTGTTTATTTGCGCGTTTGTTGTCAGGCATCTGAACGTCTGTGCATTTTTCTGTACATGCTCGTGTGTTTGAGCTGTTTTGTATTTTTCTGTTGTTTGTATGTTTGTGTTGTTTTGTATGCTTGTGTTGTTTTGTATGCTTGAGCGGTTTTGAATGTTTTGAAATTTTGGAAACTCGATTTAACCATTTGCATCCTTTAGCATGGCATTTCACAATTTATTACACGTCATATAGCAATATTTTTTTTCAAAATTCAAGCATATTGAAGTTTCTCATTTTTCACAAGTTTCAACCGCCAATTAAACTAATTCTTGTTACGTACCTTCGAGAAGCAGAACGAGAACTACTTCAATATCTTAATTGCTCGAAAAGTACAACGTGAAGTTTGAAAGTATACCTACTCAACTCGTGTATTCCTCAAATAATATAATTTGCTAATATGTATTACAATAATAAACCATGTTAGAGCTTTTTATACTTCGAAAGCTTTGATTATATTGTAATTAATTAACTATTAGTTGCTCAGAAATTTGTTGAATGATTCTATAATCTTTCAGTTATTACCGAATTGTAAATAGGTATCATATGAAAACATTCATTTCCATTGACTCTACATTTCAAATTCCATAATTAGTTAATTTATTAATTAATTTAATCAACCTGTTAAAATTGGAATTTCTTTCAAAGAATTTGTGCGATTTATTGACTTTACACGTTGTACGTTAGGAGGAATTAATGAGATCAATAAATATCAAGCATTGAGAAGAACCATCTGTCTTGATAAGCAAGAATCTTATCATTTCATTTCTGTTCTTTAGATCAAACTGCCAGACCATATTAACTATCCCCATTCTAACGTGACCAACATTTTGTATAGTAAAAAAGACAAATGCAATACTACTATTTATCGGATTTAATCACTTTATTATAAAATTCTTCTAAAAATGATTCAAATCAATTTTATTCACTGAACTGAGCGTATTCGGTAAAACCGGAGATCCATCATGGTTTTAAGCGGTAATTTTGCTAAATTTGCATAAGCAGTAATTACCTTTGCAGTAATTTTTTAAAACTTACAACACCATAATAATTTTATTTGACAATTTGGTTAAAATACTGCATCACTATTACACAAATAATAAAAAATAAGGGTTGGCTATGGCAAAGGCTCCCAACACTAAACACGGATCTCCAGTTTTGCTTATGGAATTCAATGGTGCAGTAAAAATAATGCTACATTATTATTATCATCATTTATTTGTAGTCTTTTGTCACTTTTAGTTGCGATGATAAACAAACTTTGCTTCATTTTTCTGTCAAGTTTCTCGGACGGTTGATGCCTGATCTGACTTTATTAATTTAATTAGTTTAATCTTCTCATTTGAAAGTTTGACTGAAGTTTTAAAATGGTGAGCTTTTTAATGTTTGCTTTTACATAATTCTTGAAGATTAATTATTAATAATAAATTTATTATTAATCTTGATTCTTGAATCTTGAGTTTCTTGTCAATCTTGCAGTGCTTGACTCCTAATCTTAAAATTGTAAATATATTTTTTAATTTCTTAAAGAAAAGGGGAAAAGTCGCCATTGATTTTTATATTAATTAATAAATTAATATTAATGGTTGATTATTTATTAATTGTTAATGTTAATTAATATAAAAAGTTAGGTTCATAAGCTTCATATTGAATAAATTTTCCCAAAATTGTAAAACTTTCTTTTTAAAAATTCTTTGTCATACCAAACTACTGCATGCGAACATTAACATTATGTAAATTATTGAATAACAAATGTTATTAAATAAATAATTAATCACAGTCATGCAAAAAGCCGGCTGGCCAGAATGCAAAAAGTAAAAAATCTGGGCCCAAGTTGGAGCTGACTGAAGAACAAAAACAGGAGATTAAAGAAGCATTTGATCTTTTTGATACAGAGGGGACAGGGACCATTGATACAAAGGAAATCAAGGTCACTTATATTTTTTATCCTCACTAACTTACAAAACTTCTCAAAAATTTTATAATTCAATTTCTAGAAATTTGTGGTAAATGTACTTTTTCCAACTTTTTAATCACATTCCTGATGTAAATCTTAATGTTTAAACAATAAAAATTCATGTACATGCATAGAGTAGTATGTATATATAACATCTGGTTCTGATTTCTATGCAGAATACACAAGCCTGACATGAGAAAACAAAATTTATTGACTGTTAAACAATGCTGTAGACAGTATTTCAAAACTTATCATCACTTCATCATTAAATATTATGTTTGTTGTTATAATTATTTTTGCTGTTATAATTATTCTTTTTCTTCTTTTTAGGTTGCAATGAGAGCACTTGGTTTTGAACCTAAGAAAGAAGAAATTAAAAAAATGATAGCAGATATTGATAAGGAGGGAACAGGTAACTGTTTTCTTTTTTCTATATTTTTTTTATTTTTTATTAAAAAATCATTTTCAACAATTTCTTTTCAATTTTTTTTTGTTTAATAATCATTTATAATATTTTTATTTTTTAATCACATGTCTTTTGTTAGATGAAATGTTTCAAATAAATGCACGAAAAAATTAGCTTTAGGGCATATGTTAACTATATTTGATGAAAACCTAACGAAAACTAACAAAACTTTTCAGTTTTTTTGAGAAGAAAATTATAATAGCTGCACTGCAGACAGATAACTCATAGTTTTAATGTGTTATAGATGAATGGCTGACGTAAATGTAATTAAGTTGTGCTCGTTTGTTTCTCAGGAAGACTGGATTTTAATGATTTCATGACGTTAATGACGAGTAAGATGAACGAGAAGGACTACAAAGAAGAGATAATGAAGGCATTCAGATTATTTGATGATGATGAAACTGGCAAAATTTCGTTTAAAAATCTTAAAAGGGTAGCCAAAGAACTGGGTGAAAACCTCACTGATGAAGAACTTCAAGTAAGATCAAATTTTATTTAAAAAATTAAAAAAAAAGAAAATACCCGATAAAATTTTATAAATTTTCAAGGAAATGATAGATGAAGCAGACAGGGATGGTGATGGTGAGATAAATGAATCGGAGTTTTTCAGGATTATGAAGAAAACAAGTCTCTATTGAATGAATTTACAAATTGTTTTTATATCTATTGTAGCATGTCGTTGTATGTTGTTTGATTATTTCATTCCATGTGTCGAACTGCTTTTATTTTTATCATATAAATATCGTAATGGCATTGTTTTAATTTTGTGAAACAAGTGTGAATAAAATGTCTAATAAACTATTTGCTGACCATTTAAAATCGCTTTTTGAGTTAAATTCTGTAATAAAAGGTTTTGGAAAGAGCTGCTCAATGATACCAGCTCATTGGTTTTATACCTTGTATTCAAATTTCTGTTACTAGCAAATGCGTTTCTAATGTTACATGATAAATAGGTAAGTATCAGTATCAATTACATGTATCAATAGGTAAGTCAGCTGCGGTTTCCGTTATGAACTCTAATAAAACAAAGTTATACAAATTAATTACTCTATTAGCGTTATTCACAAATTATATTCTGATGATAAGTTGATGAGGGAACTTGGGGTAAAGTTTTACGTAAGGGTGAGATTGATTCATCTTCGAAAGTCATTCTCTGGTTAACCGGGTTCTCTTTACATTTCAGTAATCCATTGATCCACAAAAGTTCGTTTAATATTTAATTTAAAAACAATAACTTAATTCACTCACTAACACTAGTTTTCCAAATTCCTATAAAAACCATCAAAATCAATACTGCATTATTGCTATTTTAAGTATTATTATAAGTATACGGTTTTGCTATCTTGCATGACTCGGCCATCACTGATTAAATTCACATTTAAACATCATCGCAGGCTGATAAGACAAAAGAGAAGGCAGGAGGCATATTAGATTTATTTTCTAATTAAATAATTATTAATCACCTCATTCTTTTATTCTAAGTCGTCAAAAAATTGAACATATTTGTTTTTCCGGAGCTATGGATTGGCTTATGGGGTTAATAAATTTGTTTTTTATTTATTATGATAAATATGTTAAAAATAAAATAGAATAATAAATAAATAATTGTTATTATAAAATAAATTTACACTTGATTCTTTCTTTTTTATTTTATTATAATTTTAAATTATTTAATTATTATACGAAATGTGAATCATAAAACGGAAATTTATGTTTTTTTCTATTTAATTAATTTAAATTAAAGTTTTCACTTTTTTAATTTGATATATTATTATATGTAGTTTTCACTTTTTTTTTATTTCTCAGTTTTTCTGTGAAAAACTGAGAAATACTACTAAATACATAATAATATTTTAAGGTTTAAAAAACTTATTTTCTCATTTATTTAAATTTTAAGCTCAGCCTCTGTCTTTTTGTTTTTTTGAATCAGTCAATTGTTAATTCATTTTAAATTACAAATTTATTAACTCTTGTTCTCTTCAACAGTTTAAATTTTATTAATGAAATTGAATTAATTAATTAATAAAAAATTAATCAACTGTAAAAGTAGTGAGAGTATAATTTATAATAGAAAAAAAGTATTAATTGTAGTAATCAGTGTTAAGGTTAAGATTAATGGCAGTAGTGAATAAATTAGCTATCTATACTGATACTCTATATAGTAACACAAGAAACTAGAGCTAGTTTAAATATTAACTATTAAATAAAATAACTATTCATAAATTCTAAGTAACTGGTGTTTCATTTACTTTATATTCATTTTATTTCATTATCTTTCTCATGCAGAGCACTCCCAGGCTCCTGGTATATATATATATATATATATATATATATATATATATATATACATCCTTTGAATTAATCCTGCTGTTACTTAACTGAAACAATAGACATGAAATATCAGACAACAACATTGGCATTGACAGTATATATCTTACCACTAAGAAATTTGTTGTTGTTCTGTCATTTTGTTTTGAGCTTTGAACAATGAAAGTTTAACTGTAAAGAACACATGTTTCTATAAATAGCTCTCTCATATGGTTGTGATGCACTTCACAGCAGCCAATCAGCATTCAGCAAATATGATCAGATGATCCAACCAATAACTGCTTTTGTGTTTCTGATGTTTTGCTTATTATTATTATTGTTGTTGTTGTTATTACTTTTATTGTTGTTGTTACTATCATTGCTATTATTTTTCTGTGTTAGTAGTTTCTGTGTTTTTCTAAACAAATGTGTCTTTATCTCTGTGTCTCTGCTGTTTAATCATATTTGTTGTTGTTTGATATTTTTTCATATATTATTTCATATGCACATTATGTTGATGTATTGTATATGTATGTGAATGTGTGTGTGTTTTTTATATATGTAGAGAGTGTTTGCAGGTTTGTTTGAGTTTGTATGTTGCTAAACAATGAAATTAATCTTTACTAATTTTTAATGAATTAATTATGTGTTGCAAATATTGTGCCATCAAGTTTAAATGTTTCATATGTATTTTATTTGATACAATAAATGTTTTAATACAACTTTCAACTTCCCATCTTCAATTTTGTTTACATCCACAATGTGTTACCAGACACGTCTTAAGTATGTTTCTAAAAATTTTACACAGCTACAAAGATTAATATGCTAACTTGTTTACATGTAATTTAGGCGTAAACAGAGTGTAAATAACTTTGTGATGTGGCGTGATACAGTTTTTAGGACACACTATTTACTTTTTCAAAGGTTCTAATTTATAAATAACTTAGTCTAGCTTACTTATTTTAATATGTTTCCTTATTTTGATTTCATCTTTATTTACGTTGTGAGTTACTTAGTACATGTTCATGGTCGTGCACTTTGTGCATGTTTTGTACACGTACAATTTTGTGTTTTAGGTTTAAACTACGAAATATCTCCCAAACTTTTGGTTACTTCTTGTGACTCCCCGGACTCAAAACAATTTCAACACATATGCGTAAATGAATTTTTAATTTGAATTAACTTTTAGTTACAGGGCATATTTATACTGCGCAATGACTTCAGATAAAAACGTGGTTGAGCATAAAAATTGAAGAGCGAATCAACAACAATGGCAATAAACTGCAAAAGTTGTAAATAAGTAAAACAGATACGCGCGCGAGCACATACTCACATGTACAGACACGCACGCGCATACACGGCACACACACACACACGTGTATATATTTTCTCTCATTTCAGCAATAGTTTGCATGTGATCTAGTGTTCTGTTTAATTTATCCTACAGAGAAACATTACATTACAACTGATAAACAGTGATTAGATTAGAACTTTCTTTTTATACATGCACGCACACATATATACAAACAAAAAGCAAACCCAAAAATACATACAAGCATGCAAAAATACATATAAACACGCACAGTTACAAGCTGACGAACAAATAAATAGAACTAGAAGCATACACAGAAATACCTATTCATATGTTAAACAGATTCTTATTTTTATTACAGAATTGGCATATATTCATTATATCACTCTGTGTCAATTTTTTATCCATTCCGTTTCTATGTATTTATGTTATATACACATATACACACACATATCATATATATATATATATATATATAGATATATAGATTTAGAATATATGTCATATAAAATCAGCATATATTAAGATTAATATGTATTTATTTTAACACATTAGCTCACATATCAAACAGTAAACAATACACACACGCACACGGACACATACACACACACGTGTGTGTATATTATATATATATATATATATATATATATAGGCTGGTAAAAGACCATAATTAGTAATTTAAATTACTGCATATATATATATATATATATATAAATATATATATATATATATATATAGCGTTTAGATAATAATATATGTATATAAGTTGGTGTACTGTATAAAGTACTTCTTTATTTAGCAGTATGATTTGGGAAAGAACTACAAATGTTTGGTGAAATGTGGAAATACAAGATAAAAGAGAACATTAAAAAAAACTATTGCAAGTATTTTAATGACTATGGATGCATGCATATCGATCTACAAACATTTTTCATGGATTGAGTGTTAAGTGCATTTATAGGAGGAAAAAAATTATTTTTTGCTGTGTTGGCTGATAACATTTTTTTGTATTTCGTTTTTTTTTTGTTTCAAGTACATGGTTCTTTCTTATCTATTAAAAGGAGGATTTTGGTTTGGTTTTATAAATGCCATCTTATGTATTTTTGTATTATTTAGTCAGTTTATAAAACATGTAAAAATACTTTGCTAACTCTATTAGTTAAAACTATTTTTCGCAATAATTAATAATTACTTAATTTGTTGGATAATAAAATGAAATAATTATTTAATTATAAAAAGCAATTATAAAGCAAAAATATAAACAAATAGACAAAAAATAAAACATGGAGTCTACAAACTATGCATTAAACATGACATCAATTCATGTGGATATTGGTAGGAAAAATTTTTTCAACCCAATAAAATGGATCAATAAGTAAGATGGATATTCATTCATATTTTATTTATGATATAAATTTTTTGGTTTCATATTTTTTTTATTATGGATTATTTTTGCTTTTAAAAGCTTTTTTAATTTTATTAATTAGAAAGTTTTGTTAGAGCCATTTTTTCAGTTTTTTATGATTTATTTATTTGAATTGATTCTAATTTCTATGTTAAAATTATTTTTCTATGATTCATTTTTTCCTTTCTGCTAATTTTAATATGTTTAACTTTAACTTGAGAGTAACTTACTCTACATAGCTATTTAATTGTCAATCTTTTTTGTTTATTGGTAATAGCAATCATCTTTAATTTTTTTTTAAATTTACTATTTCATCTAAATTCTTCTTTGTATGATGATATAGTTTTCAATAGTTTAACAAAAAAATAACCTTACAGATTTTTTATTTTTCAAAAGTCCATTGTCCTTAATTAACGTTTCGCAACTTTACATCACGACCACAAAGTGCAGTTGTGTTGTGCTTTAATGCCTACAGCCTACATAAAATTGTTTTCATATCTTTTATGTGTTCTTTATTGTCTGCCAATAGCCTAACCTTGTTTCTATTTGAAAGTTAATCGTTATTTCATATCTACATGGGCCTCAAAACTGCTTTAAGATGGATTTATTTGACGATTTTAAATGTTTTTTTAATTGTAACGGTAGTAGTATTAGTACTTATTTGTAGTACTAGTAGTAGTAGTAGTAGTAGTAGTAGTAGTAGTAGTAGTAGTAGTAGTAATAGTATTGTTGTTATTACTGGCTAATGCTACTCAGGTTGATACCACCACTATATATTCACAGATAAAATGACTTGAATGATTGTGAATCACTTCAGTTTCAGCAGCAATTGAGATTAAGAATGTAGAGTAAAAAAAAATTATCACTTGCTCAATAGATACTTGACTATGAAATTTTAATTAATTAAAAAATTAACGAAAGTTTGTCACTTGGATTTATGGTTAATCTATTTTTTATAGTTAAATTTTGAGTGGGATATTGAATTATTGCTTTGTGTTTCCCATATCTTCTTTCCTTTCTGCTCTCTTTCTTTTATTTTTTTGAGGTTTTTCACTTTATCTCTTTATTTCTTGCACACTTAACTTCTCTCTCTCTCTCATCTCATTTCTTTCTCTCTCTATTTTTTCTCTCCCAATGTACGCTGGACTTTCTACAACTCATTAATTTATTCATCCTTTCAATCAGTCGATCTAAGAAGAAGGACAAGGACCCATCAATCATCGGCAGCACTATGACGATCACAAGCAGCGGCAGCAGCAGTGGCAGCAGCAGCAACACGAGCAGCCACAACCTGTCAACATTGGCTGCTGAGGAGTTTAAGTTTGTGGTGTCTGATGAGATGCTGTACAAAAAACTCGTTGATAGTTCGTCGTTTACTGCCTCTATTCAGCTGCCATGCGGGATTGATTGTAATGAGTGGATTGCTTCTCACAGTAAGTTTTGTCTTTTGTTGTTCTCTATGTTGATGCTGTTTGTCTTTTGTTGCTGTTGTTATCTTTTTTGTTGAATCTAATGTTGTTGTTGCTGGCGGTGTTGTTGTTGTTGTTGTTGAAGTTATAGTTGCTTTTGATGTTTTTTTTTTTATGATACTGTTTATATGATGATATATATTTGTTTGATGTGGATAATGTTATTTTGTGTTGTAACTGTTGTTTGATGTTGTTGCTTCTTTGCTATTCGTTTCAGTCATGTGTGTTACTTTTGTTTTCAACGCGTGGTTGGGCTTTCTTTATTTTGATCACTGTTGTAATCTGCTTTTTATCTTTTGTTTTCATATTTCATTTTCTTCTCCTAATTATAATCATAAAAATTACTTTTTTTATAAAATTAATTAATTTATTTAAAAAAAATAGTAATAATTTTTAACTTATCGTTTATTTAATTAATTATTTAATTAATTAATTTTTAATTGTAATTTATTTTTAATTATATAAATCATAACTTCCATACTGCACAGCTCTGTCCATATTTGAAGGCATCAACCTCATATGTTCCTGTCTTCATGACTCTTGCACACAAACATCCTGCCCAACAATGCATGGTCCCAACAACATGTTTGTATTATATATAACTTTGTATATTTTTGTATTCACTTTACTGTTTGTTTGTATATTTATTGAATGTCAGCGTAATATTTTTCTATTGTTTGTGTATTTCTTTGGTATTTCAGTTCTGAATTCATCATGATTTGTATATTCTATAATTCTTTAACTTGCATTGGATTGTATTGTGTTTTATTGTATTGTATTGCATTGTATTGTATTGATTGTATTGTATTGATTGTATTGTATTGTATTGTATTGTATTCAATTGTATGTTTCCATGTTTGTATGATGATGTACTGTTGCCATGCTTGCCTGATGTTTCCATATCATTATTTGGTATATTGTATGTTCCTACTTGTCTGTTTGCTTTGGGTTCTTCTTACATTCTCCTCACTCCAATTTTATTTTGCTAGAACTGTTTGTTCAGTGTATGTGTTTGTAGGTTGGTGGTGTAGTATGTATATATTTGTATATGGATGTGTGTATATAATTTATAATAATAATATATATAATTCCCACGTTAAAATAAATTGGGTGGAGGAGTTGGATTTTTTGTTAAAAAAAATATTGAGTATTCAAAAAAATATGAATTTTTCGATGAAAATATTTGCGAATTGCTCAACATAGATGTTCAACTGAACATTGATGTTGTCAATATTACTTTAATTTACAGACCCCCTAAATCCAACTTAAATTTATTCTTTGACTTTCTATCAAACTTTTGCAAAAACAATGTATCAAATTTTTCATATATTATTGGCGATTTTAATATAAACTTGAACTCCTCGAATTATGGTAAAAACAGTTTTGAAAACATTCTTTATTCTCACAATTATCACTCGCTAATTGATCAACCGACTCGCGTGTCCAAAACAACTTCCACATTAATAGATAATATATTTACCAATATTTACTCAGATCACCTAAATGGCATTTTAATGGTGGATCTATCAGATCACTATCCCATATTTTCATTTAATTTAAAACAAACATCATTTTCTAAGAAAGATGACATCTTAGTAGCAAGGAAATTTTCATCTAATACAATAAAAGCTGTTAAAGAATCATTAATGGTAGAAAACTGGGACTCTGTTTTTAACGAATCTGATATTAGCATATGCTATAATAACTTCAATTCTACATTTTTAAATATACTAAATCATCATGCTCCACCAACAGCAATTAAAAATAAAAAATTAAAAAAGTTGGATTACTAAAGATATATTAAATTTATCTAAACACGTTTATAAATTATTTAAAAAGTATTAAAAAAATCCAAGCGACAATAATTTAATAAAATATAAAAAGTTTCGAAATTTTTTAACATCTACTAAAAGATCAGCTCAAAAAATTTTTTATGAAAATCACTTTTATTTGGCCAAAAATAATTCTAAATATAAATGGAAAATAATTAAATACATTTTAAAAACAATTAAGTCGAAAAATCTAATTGAGAAAATTAAAATTGCTGATGAATTTATTACTGATAAACTTGAAATATCTAATACCTTCAATGATAATTTTATTAATTTGGTTAGTTCTTGTCGAAACACATTCTCTGTTGACTCCTTGAATAAACTAAAAATTTTTACAGATCCCGTTCTATCATCTTTTTTTCTTGAACCTATCAATCGGTCAGAAGTTATTCAAATAATAAATTCGCTTAAGCCCAAAATGTCAACTTCTGATGATGAACTTAACTCATTCATAGTTAAAACTTTCAAAAACGAAATTTTATCTCCACTTACTCATATTTTCAACATTTTCGCAAACAAGGTATTTTTCCATCAAGCTTTAAACTCTCAAAAATTGTTCCTATCATGAAAAAAATGACCCCTATAACTTAAATAATTACAGACCAATTTCTTTATTATCACCTTTATCCAAAGTATTAGAAAAACTGGTTTACAAACGCTTATTTTTTTTTCTTATGAAAAACAATGTTTTCTCTAAAAACCAGTACGGATTCTGAGCCCACCATTCACGTGAACTAGCCATTCTAGAATTGGTTCAAAATATATTGACCAACATGAGTTCACGTAGGCTTACTCTTGGAATATTTCTCGATCTTACAAAGGCATTTGATCTGATTGATCACGATATTTTGTTATATAAACTCAACCATTACGGGATTCGTGGTATTACAAATCAATGGTTTGAGAGTTATATCTCGGGTAGAAAGCAATATGTTTTTGTGAATGATGTTAAATCTGGGACGCGTGAAGTTTCGTGTGGAGTCCCGCAAGGGTCTCTATTAGGCCCTTTGCTTTTTTTGATTTATATAAATGACATTGCCTACTTATCAAAAAAGATGAATTGTATTCTTTATGCTTACGATTCAAACATTTTTTATTCTTCTGATGACCTTAAACGAGATTTAGATGTCATAAATAATGAACTCAAATTATTCGAGGATTGGTTCTCAATGAACAAACTCATGGTTAATTCATCCAAATCGGCCTATGTTATATTTGGACCAAAGATTTTAACCAATAGTTTCTCGGACTTGGACCTTGTGTTCAGCAATGTGAAATTAAACAGAACCAATCAAGTTGTTTTTTTGGGTTTAGTTCTGCAAGATAATTTGTCTTACAGTTATCACATTGAAAATCTTAAATCAAAAATCAATAAATTCATAGGTATACTTTATAAAATCAAAAATAAGATTAATTCCACAATATTAAAAGATTTCTATTATAGCTTTATATACCCTTATATTCATTATTGCGTGATCATATGGGGAAATAGCCCTACTTATCAGCTAGATCCCCTGTTAAAATGTCAAAAACGTTTTATAAGAATTTTATTCGATTTAAAATTTAATGACCACACCTCTAATTATTTTCAGATTGCAAAACTACTTTCAATAAAATAAATTTATTACACATGCATCTCAATATTTATATTTAAACTTATTAACAACTTAATTCCAAAAAATTTTAATAATTTGTTTATTTATAGTAACGCAATCCAGTTAAAGCACACAAGACATACCTCAACATTTTATATTGAAAAAAACAGATTGAAACTTATCAATAGTAGCATAAGAGTCGTCGGATCTAAGACGTGGAACAAATTACCTGAATATTTGAAAGAAGCAAAATCCGTTTTAAAATTTAAAAAAGACATCAAATTCTACTGTTTAATATTTAAACCCCCTTAATTTTTGGTGTGGGCTCAAGTATGTGTGTGTGTGTACGTGTGTGTATATGTGTGTGCGTGTGTGAATATGTGTCTGCGTGTGTGTGTGTGTGTGTATATGTGTGTGTGAATAAGTATGTTTTACGTGGGTCTATATATATATTTGTGTTTCAATAATTACAAACGACATTCTGATAAAAATGTAAGAGTTGATTACTTATTAATTATGATTCTATTTTTGGTTTTTTAGGATTTGTAATATGAATGTGAGTTTACATGTACTAAAATATTTAAAATATGATCTCATTTTTACAATTGTCACTGGTAATCATTACAAGAAAACCATATTTTCTTTTCGATTTCCAGATCATTTCTTTTCATTGATATCATTTTTTTGATTTCTTTTTTTTGATTTGATGAAATAAAAATTGTCAAACATACGTAATTATTTGTTTGTATGTGTGTGTGTGTGTGTGTGTGTGTGTGTGTTGTATGTTTGTGTGGGTATTATATGCGTATATATAGCCGTATTTTTATAAATAGTTGCATTTTTTCCTTTTTTGGGCTAACTAATTTTTTTGATTAATGATAAAAATTACCCAATTGCAAGAACTATTTTATTCAGTAGTCTGTCTTTTCAAACATTTCACCATTACAAATCCTCTTGGAAATAAACAAGTCCATTTATTTTAACAATACATCTATGTAGGCTGTTAGAAGTCTTTGTGTTGTATATCTTAGGTGTTTTGATATCATCTCCTGAGATGTAAAAGTGATATATACGAGAAATAAAATAGTGGATATGATGCGTTGTGTGTTGTGATGTGTTAATTGCATTAGTTATTTATGTTGATTATGATTAATTATAATAACATGTGATTATTTAATCAATCTCACTCTTTTTTCTCTTTCTTCTCTCTCCCTCCCTTCCTCTCTCTCTCTCTTTCTATCTATCTCTCTCTCTATCTCTCTCTCTCTCTTTCTCTCTCTTTCTCTCTCTTTCTCTCTCTTTCTCTCTCTCTCTCTCTTTCTCTCTTATCATCATTATCATGTAAAGGATGTTTATCATTGTAATTAAATATTATCTATGACAAATTTGTATAATACTGTTTAAAATAATAATAATTAATAATAATAGTAGTTATAATAACGATCATAATAATATTCATAATAACAATAACATTAATATGGCCAATATTTATTTCAATAAGATAACATTAACAACAATTACAATAACATTACACATTACATTAAAAACATGGTTAATAACGGTAACAATTACAACACAATAGAAATGTCATACATATTGCTTTATTAATAAAATGGATTAATATATTTTTAATTTCATTTAATTATTTAGTTAACTAATTAATTGATTTATCAACAGCTAAAACTAAGTGATTTGCAGACACGTTTATACATATATTTTATAAATATACAGACATTTAATTCTGATAAAACTGATACTAATTGGTATTTGCGTACGTGCGTACGTGTGTATATATGTCGGTGTGTGTGTGTTTGTGTATGTGTTGGTTTATATGTGTGAGTGTGAGTGTGAATGTTTGCACGTGCGTTTAAGGCTTGTTTCAATTTTATTAAAGCGGGATGCAGTTACGAACGCTAATGTTCAATGTTAATTTAATACATCCATTAAACGTAAGAAGAGGAAATGCGAAATGCAAGTTTCCATTTCAACCATTTCTGAATCTTCTATCTCGATAGCATTCCTTGGATTGTAAAATAAAACCGGTAAATAAAAAAACCGTCTGCCCGTTACATGTACTGTGTGCTTGCTACTCACCAATGCCATATCTGGCATACCTGAATTTTGTTAACCTAAAAGGTCACAATTAAATAAGTTAATTATGTATCTGGGTGGATGTTATCTAGATAGTTATCTGGTGGATGGTATCTAGATAGATATCTGGTGGATGGTATCTAGATAGATATCTGTTTCTACTTAACACAAGCTACACACACACCTCACACACACATACACATACACACACACACGTAGTAAAATAAGGTCTGTGTATTGTGTTAAGGGTCGTGTTAATTATATAACATATGTGTGTCTGTTTTATTTGATCAAGTGCCTTCGTAAAAGTGTGGAATTTTTTAAATTCAAATGTCATTTATATAAGTAAAAATTGTTGTAAGATGGTTGTCATACATTGCATTTGATGTCATATGACATCAATATATCTTGCATTACATTAACAGCAAATTTTATTGTCTGTAGTTTTTATTTTTTGCTTCTAGTTTATGTAAACAGAAAATTTTGAGCAAAACAAAATTAGCTGGCAAAAACAAACACATGCATGTTTCTACTGTATTCCTCATTTCAGGTACACGGTTTATACATATCTGTATGTGTATGTACTTTGTGGGTATTTTGTGTGCGAGTGTGTGTGTGCGCGCGCGCGTGTGCTTGTTACATTCCACTGAATATATGTGACTTTAGGGTCCTCTCATAAACTTTCAAAGGCATGAAAGTTAAAACTAGCTGAATAATTTAAAATAACCTCATGCATTTTTCCTACTTCTTTATATTTTTGTGGTTCTCTGATATTTTTTTAGTGGTACTTGTTATTTGCATTCTCAGTTGTTTCGTTTTTGTTTTGTTTTTATTATTGTTGATTGTTCGTCTGTTTTATTGGCGTTTTTACCTCTTTCTTTTTGTGTTGTTATTTTTGTTGTTTTTTTCTGTTTAATTAATTGAAGCAGTTCAAATATTCAGCAGCAGCTAGCTTAATTATCCGATACCTTTGATTTGAGTTGTATGGGTCCTGTTCAATCCACGATATGCAATACCTCTGCCATCTTACTTGACCCATTCATTTAAAATATTTTTTTCATGTTTTTTTTTTCTATTTCGTTTTTTAATTTATTTTTCGTTACAGCATGTGTCAAAAGAACGTTGGCTATAAATGGAGTCACGTGTTATAAAATCTGGTTTTGCTTGGTTGTTGTCACCATATAATGTTCTGTTCTGAGTGTGTGCGTGCGTGCCTGCGTGTGTGTGTGCGTGCGTGTGTGTGTGTGTGTGTCATTAGTTTTATAAATGTTTAAATTGAATATACATGTATGTGTATTATGTGTATCGAGCTTACATTTTCAATTTATTCCATTTTATTCAGCAAAAAGCATGGAGACACAGAAGCTTGTACGGCCACCCAAACCAAATATATATAATAATCATATATATGTATGTATGATTGTTTGTGTGTGTGTGTGTGTGTGTGGAGCGTGCGTGCGTGCGTATGTATGTAGTGGCTTATTTTTTTTATTTCTAATTAGTAGTGTTTTTAATTGTCTGTAATTTTTAGGTACACCCATTTTGACTGATAAACATTGTGGTGGTTTGCTTGCTATTGATAATGGGAGTAATCATAATTAGATAATATTTCTGTGTGCGTGTGTTTGTGTGTGTACGTGTTTGCTGGTGTGATTGTTTGTCTGTATATTTCCATGTACATTTGTATGCTGTGCTGTGGTTGTGCACGTATGCAGGTACTTTTTTCATACTTTTTTTATTCATTCATTTACTCATGATGATAAGAATGATAAAGTGATAATGGAAATCATCAACAACCGAATAACTTAATCACTCACTCAGTAGTGGATCTAGTACGGGGGGGGGTATTGAAACTTTATGACCCCCCGGCAAAGTTGTCTAGATCCGCTTCTGCACTCACCCACAATGTAACTCATCTGTCGACCTACCCACCCCACCAGGCAGTTCCACTGGTTGGATGAGAAGGGCAAGAAGTTGAAGTCGTCAGCCAAACAGTACACAGAACTTGTCACCTCGTACTTGCACACCTGTGCCAACAATGAAAATATATTTCCCACCAAATATGGTCAGTTGGTTGATTTATTTGTTGGTTGGTTGATTGATTGATTGATTGATTGATTGATTGATTGATTGATTGAGGAATTGATTGAGGAATTGATTGAGGAATTGATTGAGGAACTGATTGAGGAATTGATTGATTTTCTTAAAGGAAACATACGGATCTTTCTCCATCTCTTTGAAACGTACGACGTGTTGTACATGTATGGCGTATATATGTGCGTGTGTGTTTTTATTTTTGTTTAGGTATGTAGGGTTATATTGAAATATAACCATACATACCTAAACCTATATGTTTGTATGCATTTGTATAGACATGCAGGTGTGTATGTATGTGGGTATGTATGTGTGTGCGTGCGTGCGTGCGTATATGTGAGTTTTCTTGGCATGCATAATTCATCTTTTATCAAGCGCAAATGTATACCACACGTAAGACGTAGATAATATTATTTATATGATAGGAATTCACTCACCTCTATCCTCTTCAATGCTCTAGGCTTTTCTTGGATAAATAATTTAGTGATTGCTATGAGGTGAGATGTTTAATTATTGTGCAATATTTCAGTCAAGAGTAATTAGTCGACAGTGTACATGTGTGTGTGTGCGTGCATGTGTGCGTGTGTGCGTGTGTGTGTGTGTGTGTATGGTGTGTATATTTCTATTTGCTTGATGTCGTATGTATTCACAAGTGGGATATGTGCTGAAGATGACACTTAAGCTTGCTACTGGGAATTTATCTGCTTTGATTATTTATTATTAAACAGAAATGCGCGTAAAGTTTTATTACCGACTTTTTTCATATAAAGGGTAATTATAATAATAACAACAACAATAATAATAATAATAATAATGCTACTACTTATAATACAAGTAGTAATTGTAATAATATTCATATTACTGTTAGTAGCAATAGTCTTAATTTTCCAGTTATTAGCAAACATTTAGCTAGTCTATAGCAATTATCTACATGCATACATACATACGTACGTACGTACATACATACATACATACATACATACATACATACATACATACATACATACATACATACATACATACATACATACATACATACATACATCATACACATACACAGACATATACATGCACGCGTTCATTCATACAAATGGAAAATAGCAATTGTTGGCCTTCTATAGTAAATCACCCAAGCTGAAGCTAGCTAGGCATCCATGGATGTATTTCCTCCTAATCACTACTAATCTCTATATAAATGCTACTTATATCTTTTGAGATTTTGGGATGATACAATGGAGTTGCAGATGAAGTTACACTGTGTTTTTCTTTCTATGTTTTCTTAGATCTATGTTACAGTTATTTCTTTTTATGTTTTCTTAGATCTATGTTACAGTTACGTTATGCTTTCTTTCTTTTCTATGTTATGTTCTATATCTTTTATGTTCTTTTGTTTTTTTTTTGACTCTGTGTTATTCCGATCTCTGTAGTATCTCCATGTTATTATATTCTTTGTTATTTCCACTATGTTCATTAAATATCATTCACATCAACACATGTGCTAACACGGCATGCAATGGTTTGTTGTTTAAAATGATCACGCCATAGTATTTTCAGTGCATTTGTTATTTCAATAATAATCCTTGATACCTTATGTCTAGTAACTTGAAGATTAAATGTAGTAGTTGTTGTTGTTGTTGTTGGAGTAGTAGTTGTAGTAGTAGTAGTAGTTGTTGTTGTTGTTGTAGTAGTAGTTGTGGTAGTAGTAGTAATTGTTGTTGTTGCTGGTGTTGTTGTTGTATTTAGTGTGTTGTAGTGTAATACTGTAATTATTACGTACATTAACAGTCTTTCTTAGTTATGTAATTAAGTTTTAGTCAGTCCTGATTGATGATCGTAATTGATGATTGTGTGATTATTATTATTGTTGTTGTTATTGTTGCTGTTCGTTTGTTTGTTTGTTTGTCATTATTGTTGTTCAGGAAATAATTTATAATTGTAATAGATATTATACGAAATAATGTATATATATTATTCATAATTCATAATTTTGAAATGTCGCCCAGTTTTATATTGTGGAAATTGTCATAAGTAGCTGACAAATCCAATTTTGCAGTAATTAAGAATTTACCATTAGTAATATTAATTTTGGTTTAATGATAATTATGAATTAACAATAATTATGAATGAATGAATTAATAAATTGGTTGGTTAATTAATTAATTTAAATTTTCCAGGTAATCCGTTTCCGGCAAACTTCCGACGAACGATTGAACATCTACACCGACTAATGTCCCACCTCTTTGTCCACATCCACCACGTTCATCTCTCCCACCTGAGGGAACTAGATCTATCACTCCACCACTGTACACTCTTGTATCATTATTTACTCTTCAATAGATTATTCAATCCGTCACTATCTACAGAGCTTTCATTGTTTGATTACGTTTTTAAAGTCCTCGAAAAGCCTGATGTTTCTGACACTCCTACTGTTCAGCATCAGTGTGATCACTCAGCTAATGCTTCAGGGAAAAACTTCGGTGACAATCACATTTCCGGTTGCAGAGAAAACGAGGAAAGTGTTTTGAAGTGTGAGTCTGAAAGAATAGAGAGAGACGATGTCGTCATAGATGATGATGGTGGTGGTGTTTCTTCTTCTAATAATGGTGGTGTCAAGTCTACTAACGCTAATATACCAGTCAATAAATATGTCCCTATTTTCACCATTGTCACATGATCTTTTTTGGGGTTTTCCAATTTTTTAAATTGATTATATATATATATATTTTTACAATATTCTATAAATTCTACCGAATCTTTGGCGTTAATATGTTTGTAG